CCCCCCCCCCCGCCGGCATCATTAGTCCTGACGTTCACGTTCCTCCCGTCGTCTCAAGGGCAGAGAGGAGACACGCCCGGCACCCTCTGGGAAAGGAGGTCCCGGTGAGGAATCGGACTGTGACACCCCTGTGCTGTGAACAGCGGTGGCTCAGGCCAGGTCCCCAGCCAGGTGGTCACGGTCAAGGGTAACCCTCGTTCGGAAGTGCCCGAGACCAGCTGCTCAGGCCGGGCCAGTGGTGGGGGCGCTGGTTCAGCCCCTGCGTCTGCTCAGCCACCCTGGGAGCGGGGTGGGCTTGCTGAGTGTCCCCAGTGCGCGGTCGGGCGGAGAGGCTGCAGGGCGAGGTGAGGGCGCTGGAGCAGCGGTGGCCGCTGGCGGTGTCCGCGCACGGAGGCAGCGGAGCCGAAAGGCCGCGTCCCAGCGCCACTAGGCCCGGATGCTGAGGCCCAAGGGGCCTGCTCCTGACTGGTTCTCACGGTGCCAGCAGGAGGCCGGCTGGCAGCACATTTGGGAGGTGAAGGGTCCCGTAAACAGTGGCAGGTCGGGGCCTGTGACAAGCCCTTCCTCCCGTGCCCCCCCATGACCCCCAGTGCCCCCTGTGACCCCCGTGACCCCTGTGACCCCCAGGCCCCGCAGGGCCCAGGCTTGTGGTCTCCAGGCCCCAGGGCTGGCGCTGAGAGGGAAGGGGCGCTGCTGAAATGAGCTTAGAATGGGGCTCGGGTTCCCGACCCCGAAACTGGTCCTGCAGAGCCAGCCGGCTGAAATCCGGGCAGCCCGTGCGACACTGAAGTCAGCTTTTAAAACATAAACCCGTCTTCCCAGCCCCTTCTCCTGTTTACCCGCGCACTTAACCCATCTCCACATAAGCCATCCTCCGTGTCTTGCCCCCACAGCGTCCCCTCCTCTGGGGCTCGTCTCTGGGCTCCTCCACCGCCTCCCCGGGGCGGCCTCCTTCTGCTCCCAGTTCCTGATTCTCTGACCTATGAGTCAACAGTAGACGGATGGAGACACGGGTCCTCAAGTGACCGCTCCATGGGTGGCCAGGACTTCGCCGCTCAGGAATTGTTCAGAGATGCTGAGCCTCAGATGTCTTTGTCCTGCTCCAGAAGGCGCAGAAATGGACAGGCCAGCTGGACAGACCTACCGAGGCCGGTGGCGGAGCACAGCGAGCGGGAGGAGAGACTGGGAAACCCAGAAGCAAACACGTTCGGTACTTGGAGGGCATGTCCCTCTCTGGTGTCTGTGGACACAGCGTGTGGGCTCAAGGTCAGCTCGCCAAGAGCAGATTTGCCAAAAGGCAACTTGCTAAGCAGTCGACGCACCAAGTATGCAAATCCCAAAACAAAGAACAAACAGAAGTGTTTCTTTTCCTATTTAAAAAGTTAACAGAAATGTGTATCAGGTGGATTTCTCCCCAAGGAGGAGTGTCCGTCCCCTGCAGAGGATGCCCGGGGCGGGTCTGGGTGAAGACCCAGCACCTCCCCCCCTGCCAGGCCAGCGGACGCAGGTGACAACTGAGCTCCACCAGGTCCTCGACCTTCACAAGCACTGAAGGCCATGGGGCCGTGAGGCTGGTTTCACTAAGGCCTGCGTGACCAGACGGTCTCCAAGACACCAACGCCTCTGACCCCTGGGCTAGGTGTCAGCCTCCCCCAGGCTGTGCTGAAGACACTCAGAGTCCCCCTGGGGACACAGAGGCCGTCCCAGTGGGAGGCTGCAGAGGCGGAGGCCTTGGCCTCTCTCCTCGTGGCCTCCTAAGTGACATTCCAGAGAGAACCAGTGTTTATTCCAGGGAACAGGGCCGCCAACAGCACTGGCTTTTCCCCGGGGTTGAAGGGAAGGAATTTCCCTTGGGGTCCCGCTCCTGAGTGGCGGGCCCCTGGCAGGCTGCTCCAGGAAGCGGAGGAGAGGAAGCAGAGGCCACCCCGCCTTTCACTCAGCCCAGGCAGATAAAATCTCTCCCTGAGGCTGGCGAGTGGGACCCGGCACTCGGGAGTGGGGTGTTTACTGTACAGGGTGTGATGTTATTCCTGGCTGCCCATCAGGAAACAGTGCTGAGAGCCAGTCGAAAATTCAGAGATGTACAGAATCAGGGCGGGAACCACGCTGGCATCAGAAGGTGCTTCGGGCTGGAGTCCGGGCCGGGCGTTGCTGTGGGGACGTGGGTCTTGCTGTGGAGGAACTTTGAGCCTTAGAACAGGGTCGACATTTGTGTGCGAGAAGGGACGACCCGATGCCAGGCCTGCTGCCCAGTGCAGAGCTTTGGCTGTGAGCCCGTGGGTGCGGCCACCTCCCTGCGTGTGGGGAGGAACGGTGGACAACGGAGGCTTTGCTCGAAGGGGCCCCTCTGTCTTTGACTGACGCCCCAGCAGCACTGGCCTTTGCTGTCCTTGAGGGCCCCCTGGGGTGAGGATGGTGCTGGAGGGAGGCCAGCGGGAGGGGGTCAGGTGAGGCCCCTGGGAGGTGGTTCCAGCCACTGGTGCAGGAAACCAGCTACTGAGAACAGCAAGGCCCTGTGGGAAGGCGGCTGTGTCTTACTGCTCACACGCCCTTTCAGTCCTTCCTTCCCTGTGGGATTTGGTTCTTGGGGAGACTGTCAGCTAACCTGTGCCCCTGGGGAGCTAAAGAAACCTTGAGAAAGGGCAGAATGGGAGGAAATATGCTCCCTGTTTCAAACTATACTACAAAGCTACGGTAATCAAAACGGCAGGGCACTGGCATGAAAGCAGGTATATCGGTCAGTGGGATAGAGCAGGAGGCCTAGAAATAAACCCTCACTTACACGGTCAATTAGTCTATGACAGAGGGGGCAGGAATATACAGTGGGGAGACGGCAGTCTCTTCAATAAGTGGTGCTGGGAAGACTGGACAGACACCCGCAAAAAAATAAAGGAAACTGGACCACCTTCTTACACCATATGCAAGAACAGACTCAAAAATGGATTAAGACTTTAATGTAAGATCTGAAGTCCTGAAGCCCCTAGAAGGAAACGTAGGCAGTAAGCTCTTTGATATTGGTCTTAGTAATATATTTTTGTGTGTGTCTCCTCAAGCCAGGGAAACAAAAGAAAAAAATAAACAAATGAGACCACATAAAACTAAAAAGGTTTTGCACAGTGAAGGAAAACATCAACAAAGGGGAAAAAAATAAAAATAAATGGGAGAAGATATTTGCCAATGATACATCTGCTAAGGGGTTAATATTTAAAATATATAAAGAACTCGTACAACTTAACACCAAAGGGAAAGAAATCCAATTAAAAAATGGGCAGAGGACCTGAATAGACGCTTCTCCAAAAAGGACATCCAGATGGTCAAGAGACCTATGAAAAGATGCTCGACATCGCTAATCATCAGAGAAAAGCAAAATAAAACCACAATAAAATACCACCTCACACCTGTCGGAATGGCTCCATCAATAAGTCCACAAACAACAAGCGCTGGCAGCTTACCTACACCGACGCCCCGTGGCCGGGATACGGCCCACAAGTCAAATATTGGGCCTGGGCCCCTCCTCAGAAAGCAAACAGGTGGTGACGGGCGTCGGTAATGTCTGCAAACAGACCCGAATTCCTGCGAAAACCTGCGAAACATCGCCCAGCGTGAGACACGGCAGAACCGTGGTTTACCTTAAAAAATAACAATAATAACAGCAGCAGTAGGGAATGTGACGTGACCCCCAGGCGGCCACCTGGACGGGCTGGAGCAGGAAGTCAGCTGGCGGCAGGGCCCAGAGCTCTCTCAGTGTGAGATGCTCAGGGTGTCCCGGGCGCGGGGGGGGGCTCTCGGTGCCCACTCCCTGCCACCCCCATTCCCTCTCCATCATTTTTGCCATCAGTTGCTCCTTCCCTTCCGAGCGTTAGCAGCTGTTTCCCGCACTCATTGCTCCCGTTCAGACACCTGGGACTTAGGTCCGCGCCGTTGCTCTGACCCCAGGCCTGTCTCCGTCAGCGCTGAGCTCTGACAGGTAGGCACCCGCCGGGGTTCCTCGGCTGGACCCCCATGGGGCTCCTCTCCCCCCCCTCCAGCTCTGCAGAAGGGGTGTTATGTTGAAAGAGTCTGAGGGGATATAATTGTCCTCTCCCCCAAATTCTGCACCCGAAATGTATCGGTGTCCAGCCACCCCCGTCCAGTGCACGGGTGGCCTCTAGGTTTTCTGACTGAGCAGGTAGAGTGGAAATGAGACGGCCAACGCTTCCCCCGCCGCTCCGGGTGCCTGTGTCCTGTTTGAGGCAAAGACTTGACCTCGTGTATGAACTTTACCTGCACTGTAGTCAGCAGATGACAGTTTCCCCCGAGATTCCTACAGCCACTAGCCATTGGCGTGTGTGTGCGCATGAGCATGTACACGCCTGAGACAGGAGTCTTATTCTTGGGTCGAGCCTGGTGAATATTTTCATAATACTGGGAGAGGGGCAGCGGTGAGGTGCAGTCCGTGCCGTTTCGATCTGGCGCCAGTCTCCCAGAGCTGCTGCGGGTCCCTCGTCTGCAGCCTGGCCACGCTCTCCGGCCCCGTCCGAGGCCACAGGTGCAGCTTCTCAGAAGACAGTGGCACCTGTGTCTGTCTAATTGCGTCACTAAGAGTGAATTCATCTGATCTCATCTGAAACTAAAATATTTCATCTGGCAGACGTTCTCTGAGCTAGAACAAAGGGCCGTGTTCGTGACCTGGGGCACACTCCCCAGGCAGTTCAGCGTGGGGTGCACCGGGAAGCCTTGTCGCTGAGGGCATGATGGTCTAGGACTGTGGTCTCCCTGGGACTCCGGGCGCCTTCCTGGGACACCCTCCAGAGGAGCCATCCTGGCCGTGCTCTGTGGGGACAGAGGTGGGAATCGGCTCAACCCGCTCCCCTGCTGGGAGATGCCCAAACTACTTGTGGAGGAGATGCCCTGGCTTGCCCTCGGGACTCTGGGGCAGCTGCAGGGAGGGTCAGTGACCCATAGTCAGCTTTCTTAAGAGGGGGCCAGCCTGATGCCCACCTAGGGGGTGTTGTCCTCAGCTCAGGGCCATTAGCTCAGGTCAGTGTGGCCGGGGCCTCAGGGAACACAGGGTCAGCCTTCTCTCCGCGTCCTTCGCGACGCTGCTCTGTCCAGCTCATCACTGCTCGCATGTCTCTCCTCTCTAACCTCCTCTCACACAGTTACACTAGGGACAGGGTGGTTCCAGAGAACCGTGTGGCCTGACCAGGACCACCGGCCAGACCCCTGCCAGGCTCCTCAGAGTCACCATCACACCCAGCCCAAGGCAGATGAGACGCTGGATGCTCATGACTGAGTCACACTCACACTGACCAGGCCGCCTGAGCTCAGCCCCCCGGCTCTGAGTCCACAGCAGGAAGCTCGGGGCTCCGGCTCAGAGCTGGAGAGAGAGCATCAGCCGGGCACCTCTCACCGAACCCCTGTTTGCTGAGCCACACAAGGCCATGCGAGCAGCGGCTCGTGGCCCCTTTGACGATGAGTGAAGGTCACGCATGGACATCCTGGGAAAATATACAATTGTAAGCAGTCACAGAAATGTTCAAATGCCATTTCCTTTCTATAAAAATGAAGGTGCCCAGCTGGTGGCTCAGTGGTTGAGCGTCGACCCATGAACCAGAAGGTCACAGTTCGATTCCAGGTCAGGGCCCAGGCCCAGGTTGCAGGCTCGATCCCCAGTCGGGGGCGTGCAGGGGGCAGCCCGTCGATGTTGGTGCATTGATGTTTCTCTCTCCCTCCCTTTCCCTTCCTCTCTCTCTAAAATCAATAAAAACATATTTTAAAATGAGAATTTTAAAAATGAAGGGCTTCGTTGCAGCCCACCCGATGGCACACCTGAGCCCAGCGTGTTGGCGTGAGAGACAGCGCCTGTGTGCTCACACATTCGAAACCCGTTGCGACGAGAGTCCAACTGTTCCCTGTCTCTGCTGCTTCCCTAAGGGGGCTGAAGGGCAAGATGAAGACGGGAAGCTCCCAGCGGGAGCTGGTTTCCGACGCCACCCACCTGAACGACACCCACTGCGCCCACTGCCTGCAGCCCTACCGGCTCCTGGCGGCCCCCAGGCGGCAGTGCCTGGGCTGCGGGCTCTTCGCCTGCCCCGGCTGCAGCCACGAGCACCCCGAGGAGGACGGCTGGCTCTGCGACCCCTGCCACCTGGCCAGGTGAGCGGCCTCGGGTCCGAGGGCCCTGCTGGGTGGGGCGTGGCTCGGCCCTGCGGTGGGGAGCTAGCTGAAGGAGGGTGGGCCGCGTGGGTGGCGGTCGGGCACACCTGGGTTCCGTCTCTCCGCAGGGTGGTGAAGATGGGCTCCCTGGAGTGGTACTACGGGCACCTGAGGGCCCGCTTCAAGCGCTTCGGGAGCGCCAAGGTGGTGCGGTCCCTGTGCGGGCGGCTGCCCGGCAGAGGTGAGGGGGGGGAGGGGACGGTGGG